CACAAGTTGATGGTCATTAGGTACAGTTATTTTTTCACAATGCAAGAAACATGCACACATTGATGCAGATTCTTAATTATTTAGTTTCTTTAAATATAATACAGGGCGATAACAATTTGTGGCAACAATTTGAAAATTGATTCGGACATTTATAAGTGATTTGATTTCAGACTAATAGCCCTTCTGGGCTAAAAAAAAATCTGAAAACTTTCAAATTTTATATTACGCTCAAAAAGACTTTTTTAAAATTTTTTATTTATTTATTTACGAACATATACAAGTTTCGAAAGTCTTTGAGGTAACGCCATATTGTGCTCAAAATTTTAAAAACAGCATGTCTTCGGAATCCGATAGACAATCTCGCGTGTTGGAGATAAAAGTGTTTTGTACCCTATAGTGTTGCCACTGCTTGCTTTGAAGCTGCTGAGTTTTCAATCAAAAATTTGTTAAAGTTTTACAAAATAGGCAATAAAATTCAAAATTCCAAATTTGGGCTTCCAGGTTCCCGTGTTCGGGTAGAGGACTAGGTTACTCAAAATTTGATGACTCTAGGTACCATTCGTTTTTTCACATTGTGAGAAACATACATCTATTCATGTAGATTCTTCACTATTTAGTTTCTTTAAATATAATACAGGGCGATAATATTTGGTGGCAACAATTTGAAAAGTGATTCGGACATTTAAAGTGATTTAAAGCAAAATGCCGTAAACGCCGTGTACACACTATTTGCCCTTCTGAGTTGACGCCCATTTAGGCTAAAAAAAGCATGATCGTTATTAAAGAATTCGAAATAATGAAAAGAAAAAGTATGGTTATATGAATATAATTCATTAATCATTTTAAGATTTTTTTTCCAAAAATAACCTCTATTTAAAAATCCACAGGTTGTATAACCAGATGATATGCTAATTTTTTTTCAAGCACTTGCTGCTACCCGGCAGGCGTTGCAATGTTTTAATTCTGTTATGAAAGTTTTTCTTCATACGTATTTTGCATGTTTCGATTGGCTTGCGTCACCTGATAACAAGGTTGATAGTACACTGACTACCAATAAGTATTTGGACACCTATGCAAATAACGATATCTGCGGTCCTAAGGTACGTCACGGACTCCGCCGGTATATATCGTGTAGGAAACAGCATCGGCTTTAGTCGCATGCAAGATGCCTCGCAGATCGGAGCTCTCTGATTTCGAGAAAGGTATAATTATCGGGTATCACAAATGTGGCCGATCCTTAAGGGACATATCTAGCGATCTGAAGTACCCAAAATCGACAGTGGCCTATGTGATTAAGAAGTGGAAGGTGAGCGGTGATTGTCGGAAAATGCCCCGAGTCGGCAGACCAACGAAACTGGAGATAGAGACCGATGAGTGCTGTCCAGAGAAATTCGGAAGAACCTCACCCAACCGATGGCGCTCATCCTCGAGGAGTTTCAACAGGCATCCGGGAGTATTGTTTCAATGAATACCATCCGTAAGGAAGCACATCTGCTTGGTTTTCATGGTCGTGCTGCTGCCCGTAAGCCTTTGATCCCAAAGTCCAACCGCGCTGCTCGGTTAATGTGGTGCAAAGCACATCGAAATTGGACCGCAGATCAGTGGAAACGGGTTCTTTGGAGTGACGAATCAAGATTCACCCTTTACCGTTCGGATGGCAGGGTCTGGCGTCTACCTGGAGAACGTCTCCTGCCAGAATGCATTGTGCCAACAGTCAAGTTCGGCGGAGGTGGAATGATGGTCTGGGGATATTTCTCCTGGTATGGGCTGGGACCCTTGGTCCCCATTCATGCTAAGCTCAACTCCGATGCCTACTGCACTATTTTGGATGACAATATGCTTCCTACGTTGTGGCAATTTTACGGGTTTGGACCCCTGTTACTTTCAGGATTACAATGCCAGTTTCCATGTTTCGACGTTAACCAAGGCTTGGTATGGTACCAATGGAGTTCATCGAATGGACTGGCCTGCCCAGAGTCCAGACCTGAATCCTATCGAGAACCTCTGGGGCGAGTTGCATCGCCGAATTCAGGGGTGCACTACCCGTGCAAAATCGGTGAAGGAACTGCTATGTCTTCTCCAAGCCGGCTACTTCTCCAAGCCGGCTCTGGAGGCTCTACCAACTATTGATTTTGAATAAAGTTAGTTTTTCTTTTCTATCACAGGTGTCCAAATACTTATTGGTAGTCAGTGTAGTTCGGGTGGTGAATTTAATTCTGGCAATTTCATTTTTCAACCTGCGCAGTACATTCCTGGTGTTTCATTCTTAAATTTGAGAGCTCTCTAACGCATGCATAATTACATAATTGTCCATCTTTCCACTATCCACATTTGGTTGAAGAATAGGTGCTACTTTGGTAGACGGTTTCACGAATTTTGGCGACTTTTTTTTTTTTTTTTTTTTTTTTTTTTTTTTTTTTTTTTTTCGAGCGATACGACTTATAGTAAACCCATTCCTGAACAAGTTATTTATGGTAAACGATACTTTGTTGTCATTTTATTTTTAAAATAATGCGTTTTATTATGCATAAGTTCCGTGTTTTAAATATTATTTATGGTTTTTAAATCTTAAAAATCAATTTAATGCTGCGTTTTTATTTGAAATAAAAATTTTATTGTTTATGATATTTTATATAATTTTATGTTGTGGGTGATGTAATCATTGACTTCACCTTGCTTTAAAAGTAATTGGTTTTAATATCTATATATTTAATTTAATGTTTTAAACATTATTTATGGCTGTTAAGTATCAAAATACAATTTAATTTTGCATATTTTTGAAAAATGATTTTATTATGTATGATTATTTAAATAATTTTAATTCTATGCGTGATGGAATCAGCTCCCTGATTGGTTTAAGCTGTAATCAGCTCCCTGAATAATTGTTGAATATTTGTGCATTACCGCGACATTTTAAAATTTTATTATTTATCTCTTCCAATTCCTTAGATTTCATAGGAAACGGGTATGTCCCTTTCAAAGATTAATGTTGTTATTGCTAAGTACCAAGAATTATTGGTATCGGAATCAAAAAATTGTCCTTTGAGACCTTATTTAGGCCAACCTGGCTTTCTTAATCAAAGATTTATTTATAAATTGTTACAAGAGTCAGAAGAAATTTATTTTAAATTTTTGGAGGAAACCTCGCTAATTGCTTCTTCAATGAAGTGCGAGAAATGTGGATCACAGATGAAGATCGTTAAAAGAGCCGATTCTGATGATGGCCGTATATTGTATTGTGGTTAAGGTGGAAGAAACAATCGCTGTAACGGTAAAAAAAGTATTAGACATTCCTTCTTTTTTACCGGCAGTAAACTTCTAATTGCTGTCATTTTAGCTCTAGTGTGCGAAGCGTTCTTATTTACTTATTTTAAAGTATTTGATTTTAAGTAATATTTTAATTCTTTTAAACGTTGGTATGATGGTTTTTAATTCGATCTTCAGTTTAAGTAATATTTTAATCCAATTAAACGTTGGCGCAATGTTTTTTATAGCGGTTTTTTTATTCTCTATTTCATTGCTATTGGAAAGTAATAATTTAACATTACTTTAGTATTTTATATTCGTAGTAAATGTATTTATTTACATTTGCCTGCCATCTTAAAAAACAAAGTTTTCAATCCATTATTTTTAACGATATTTATTTTTTTAAAGTTTCGAATACTTTACTATGCGCAAAATACGTAAAAACAGCGTTTTTCAAGATGGCTGACGGTTGCAAAAACCACGCCAACAATTGCGCCAAAGTAAATCGCCAAAAATCCGTGCAACCGTCTACCAAAGTAGCACCGAAGAATATAATCATAATTAGCATCGTAACAAAATGCACCAAGATTTAAATCAGAGTGAAGTATTCATTTGGATCGAGCAGTGCGTATTCTTTACTTTTTCTACGAACGTGCTTGAGCAGTGCGTAACTCTAACGTTTTTCATTCTTGCTTCCTGTCGCTCCTCTGTTTCAGACAAATGGGCTTGAACAGTGCGCATTCGAACGCTTCCCAATCTTGCTTTCCGTTGCTCGTTTGCTTCAGACAAATTGGCTTGAGTAGTGCGTACTCGAACGCTTCCCAGTCTTGCTTCCCGTTGTTCGTTTGTTTCATACGAACAGGCTTGGAACAGTGCGTACTCGGACGTCTTCCTTCCCGTTGCTCGCTTGTTCCTGAAGTTCTTGATGCCTTTTCTTTCTCGCTTGAGGTGTAGATCGAGTAACTGATTTTCGCTTTGGTGGCATAATTGATTTCACAGTGAAAGCAATGCTTTGTGACGACTAATACAAATTCACATTCAAAAAGCAACGAAAATGCGTGAGATGCAATAACACGCATGTTAATGCGTGCGTATTAATGCATTAAAAATTAAATATTTTACCCTTTGCTGAACGATAACACATTTTAAAATATATAAATGTGGGCAGTGGCAACATATTTCTATTAAATAGTCGAGTTTGTTTATTAAATTCGAGAAAAATTAATGTAATTGCGTTTTTCTGAGTGGCAAAACAATTTTTTTATGTCGTCGAGTTTTCTCATTAAATTTGAAACATATATATCTTACAATTTGAAGAGTGGCACGCAAAGCTTTTAAATCGCTGAGTTTTTAATCAAACGTTAAATTAACGTCAAATATATGTATATAAAGAGTGTGGACCCTATGGGCTGCTTTTTAAGAAATCTTATTTAGACAGTGGCCTTTCTCTTGTTTTTACGGTCATGTGCGGCAAGTCTCATATAAATCGGAACTGATCTGTAGACTTGTGTAAAACAAACATTTATAGAGTCAGAGGAAGCCACGTTTAATGAAACCACAGACTTTGAGCGGTCGCGTACAGCGCTCCCTATCGTTTTCTGCCCATGCTTTCCAATGTGATTATGATTCCTAACGATGTTCTCTGCCATCTCTCCCTTAGAACTCCCTTAGTTTTAGGACACCCTGTATATTTATGTACACAATAAAACAGTCAGTGCTAAATAGGCAAAACACAAGGAAATATTGCTACTTACAAGTACTTCTCAAGACAATTTTCTTGATGTCAATGCCACGAAAAGCTGTCCATTCTAAAATCTGAGTATACAGCTGTTCGTCAGTAACAGTTTCGTTGTTCAGGTAATCTTCGACGTATTCAAGCTGATTTCGGTCTTCGACGAGCTCGTTCTCAGAATGGCCACGTGGCACCAGAACTTGCCTGACATACAAATAAAAGCGAACTTCCAGTCCCTTCCTGAAAAAGGCCAATGGTATAATAATTAAATTCCTTTTTAGTACTTCACTTTTACTGATAAAGCTAAGACAGTTATTCGATGCAAACTTCTAAACATAATATATAATTTTCTTCAAAATTTATAAAAACTTTGCCAAGGATACTGATTATACCGATAGCACAGAAAATCTACGCAAGATTTCTCATACAGATGGTGCGAATGTTATCGTAACAATGTTTTTGTACATAAAACAGCAGAAATACACCTGGCGATACATAAAGCATAAAACATGCGAAAAGTGAAAACAGGTCCGGACACCCGGGTTGCTTACATAGACTAATCAGGTATCGTCGAGACCCCCCCCCCTTTATCTAAAGCAATAATTCCAAAACAAGTCAATACATCGCCTTACAAGGGCAAAGTGTTAGACTGCATGTTTTGCATAAACGACACATTCTCTACACACTAAAAACTTCATTTACTAAAAACGCAGCACACTGCTTTCGATTGCATAGTATTGTTACGAATTTTGTATTTAGATAGCTAATTTTAGTAGAATTATAATTGAAATTGTTTTATTTCCCCGTGCAATGCAGCGCGAGGTAACTTTTAAGAGAAAGCTACTCCAAAAAATAAAAATATAAGAGTACGTGCATTTAGCATTTAATAAATGGATATCTCTTTCATTTGTATTGAAATTGAATAAATGTAATTGACAACTGTGTTTTGATTGGCAGTTTGACAACTGTCAATTTGCGTTTTTCATGTCTCGAAAGCAAAAGCGCGATTTAGAATATGTATTAGATTTATATATAGCTTGGTTCTAATATAGGTATTTTGATACAAAATAAGACTTTTTCTGAAAAATCATATCAATTTTTTTCAATATTTCATTTCTAAAACTCAAATTATTCCAAGTACCCAAGTTTTGTAAAAATCACACGAGTAGTTTTTAAAACATTAGCTCCTCGGTGTTTATTAATATCTCTTTCTTTATTCAGCTTATTTGATTCTTCCTTTCACAGTTCGAAATTTAGGTTCATTCCAAATAAAATTCGCTTATTTTTATGATTAATTTTCAAAATTTGTTTTTAAATAACTTTTATAAATTTTTCAAAAAAACTTTTGAATTTATAACCCGCAAAATTTTTATCATCATCGTAAAGTAGATGTAAGTCTAAGCATACCTGCAAAAAATTAGTTTTTTATTCAAAATTTCCTAAGATATACGTGAATTTATTTATCGGCGCATTTTGAAATTTGGCGTATTTGTCACAATCGATAATAAAGCCAATGTTAAAATTATTTGAAGTATGAACGATGACGTTTTTTCCGTTCATGTACAGTGAAAAAAATAAAGGAAATTAGGTTCGCTCTAAATTCAGAAGTTCGCCAAGTGAATTAGTCTTGGCGCAAACTGAAAAAATACGCCACGATAAATTTTAGAATTTCTCCGTAAATTTCACACCAAATTTTACAAATTTAATATTTAGGCATAATTTGAGTCGTAGAATCGAAATATGGAAAAATATTGGCATATCATATCACAAAAAGTCCGATTTTGTGTCAAAATACCTATATTACAACAGTGCTATATATAAATCTAATATGCATCCTAAGTCTCGCTTTCAAGACATAAAAAGCAATTTGAATTTCGTCAATCGGCCTAGTAGAAAGGAAGATATAGAACTGCCACCCCCTTTTTTTTAGCAGTGTATATATTTCATTATGTTTATTTTATTTAATATGACTCTACTGTGATTGCATGCATTTTAAAGCAGCATCTTAAGGAGCCAGTACTTGGGTGGGTGACCACCCACGTGACCTCGGGCTCTCTCCACACTGTGTATTTGTTACAAAGTGAACTGTTACACAGTGCTTTACTGATTCTTAGGACTGCTTCCTGCGTTTATCGCATATTAACCACTCAAGTCCTATGTCTCGCTGTAATGGTTTATAATGTGCTTATTTTGTTTGTACTTTCGGTAAACTCAACTGCTGCATCACGTGACCCTTCTGATTATGAACTTTATGCTGCTTTCAACTAATTATAACTATCTACTTTATACTTTAATACAACTTAAGCCATCTGGATTCATTTAGCTACCTTGTATATATTTTGTACAGAGTTATTTCATTCTTTCTCATTTCTTTTACCATTATTTTTACGTGAAATGCATCTGCACATACATGCCCACTTTTCACGCAAAAGTGGGCGATCGATCCCAGGACAAACGATTTTCACTTTTTACTTCCTTGTACGAAGTCAAAAGGAAGTATTGTAATCGCGAAAAGTTTCAGGCATCATATTTCAACGCAAATATCCATTGCTATCGAATGCAATTTAACGATGTTTTTGCGTGACATCTGTACGTAAGGACAGAATAAAGGACTCTTTTCTCGCCCAAAAATTGTAAAACTAATTTAAAATGAATTCTGAAGAGAATTTTTCGTGGCGTCTGTGCGTACGTATGTATCTCGCATAACTCAAAAACGAGTAGCTTCAGAACTTTGAAATTTTGTATATAGGACTGCTATAACATGTAGATGTGCACCTCGTATTTTGGTTGCAATCAGCGGCTCCAAAAGTATATAAATATATGTATATATATAGTATATCCACTCTGTTACTCGGCTCAGTAATCTCAGTTTCTTTATTCTTATATGTTTGTAAATTCTGCATTTTTTTCTTTAAAAATGATTGAACTATGTTGTTTTTATCTTCCGGTTAAGGTTTTTATGCCTTTAGGGAATCTGTATGCAATATGTTTAGAATTATCAACAATTTAAAAGTTGTTTTTCCATGGAGGCCACTGATTGCTTTCATTTGAAACAGCAGAATATTAGATTTGTTGCCAATCTAGAGAAAGTAAGATTCGCAATAACAATGAAAGATAACGCCTTCTTTTATTATTGCGAATTAAATCATGCTTAATCCATTCTGGAATTTATTCGAGGAAATAAGTGTTTAAAATTTACTTCATTATTTTCAATACAGACATCTTGAGTTTTAATGTATTTTTGCCTTGTGCGATGTGAGAACTGAATTAATTGAATGAGAAATACTGAATCGTCTGTGAAAAACTGTTCCTTTTTGTTGTTGTTGTGTTGTTCTTTGCTTAATTTCTTTTATACATTGTTTTAGATTTATTATAGTATTTGAATAGAACATGTGGCAACGATTAGATAATTCTTAAGATGATATAAATTTGTGCATTCTGAGTTAAAAAATGAATGAAATGTAACATTGTTAAGTGAAGCTAGGACCAGAGTGTCGCTATGGTAAACAAATATAATGAATTTTAAAGAGTCCATTTATTCTATTGTGGTTTATTCGCTATCGACGAAGTAGATTTAATTCAGTCCAATAAGTTTAAATGAAATGCAAGAAAAAATGGGTATAATTTAATATTCCGTACAAGGAAGTCATGTGGTGCACACATCAGATTTTTTCTATTTATGACATAGCAGTATTACTGAGTCACTACTGAAAGTTTTAATATTATTATTAACTAAAATCTCTTGCACCCTAATTATGAATCATTTAACCATTTTTTGCGTCTATTTTGTTTAATTATGCCTTTTTCAGCCGTCTACACAGGAATTCTCTCAACCAATTCACGTGTGCCGGGAAAGGCACAAGTGACAAGAGTCACACTGCTCTCCCCATCCAATACTGTCCTCCTAGATTTTGCCAAGCACTCAGTCTACTTCAAGCGCCCGTAGAGGCGACAGTTGGAAAACAACACGTCTTTTAAGTGTTATTCGCGGAGATCAGCGAAACTTGGAAATCTGGTCTTAGTTGTTTAGTTAGTTGCTGTTATTATTGCTGCGAGATCAGCGTGAGATCGGATTAACTTTCTCTTTAGATCCTCTTTGCATTGCATTGTATTTAACGTTCTTAGTAGTTTGAAGTGTAACTACTGTTTGTAATGTGTGAAACTGTGAACACTTGTACGAATATTTCTGTGGAAAATTCCAGAGTTCTAAAATATTTCTTTTGATAAATATAAATTTTATTAACCTATTATCGGACTTGTGCATTATCTCTGTTACGAACTCGTACGCACGCAACAATACATTACATAATAATCTGAATTTAAATAAATGTAAATTCAGTTTTCGAGTTTGGGAAAGTAGAGGAATCGTCTAACAATGATGAAAGAAGTGCATGGAGCAAAAACATTAAGAATCAACTGAGTTTTCCAGCGTGGACATTATTGCCCACCAGAGGGCAACGAAAAGATTAGGGAAACTTTATTTTTTTGAGTACCAGGGGAGGGGGTAAGGTTGCACTGAAAAGCAACGGATAACCAAAACACGCATAGAGAATTTGCTGGCCTGAATATATTTAAAACAGGCCTTTAAACATATATTTATTTTTGAAAATATCACAATCACGCATCTTTACAAGAACCATAATAAAACGTATCAATCAAGCCTTCCCACGATTTGATTCTAAGATGCATGTAGTTTGATATCTTACTCCAAGGGATTGGAACTTTCAAATATCAATTGACTAGTTCAAAAATATGACTAAAGAACCGTACAAATCTGCCTACAGTTTACATTTTAAAAATATTTAATATGGCATTATTGCAAGGGTAAGAGAGTATTGAATAAATTCGAAAGGTTCGTTGAGCAAAATAAAACACAGGAAGAGGGTAATGAAACAAAAAGAACTGGAAAAAGTAAAACTATTTATAATGAATTAAAGAAATATAGCAAATTTCACTTTTTTAAATTTAAACCTAAAAACTAAATTTTCAAAAATCAAAAATTATTTTTTAATATATTCTGGGGAAAAAAGTACGATTTAAAGAAAGCTTTAAAAATGAAAAGTTCTCTCCCTTTGTGTGCAACCTGTTAGCCTGTATTCTAACTTTTGATTAATCATGTTTAAATCTAAAATTAAAATTAAACCCTGAATCTCGGAATTTTTCCGATTTTATTTTCCGTTCATTTTTAAGTTAAATGCTTTTGATTAATTTTAACTAAAAAAATTGAAAAAATAAACCTGGGGTCTTACTCTTTCGGTCTGACGTCCGTTACATATGTATTCGGCAGAGGTAAGAAAGCGAAAAGAATATTCTGCATCTCCTGTTCGTATTCTTCCTGCTTAGACAGACGTTTCAGCTTTTCAGATAACTCATTTTCACTGTCTAGCGAATCTTCTGTAGCCAAAATTCCGCCAACATAAGTGTTCACACCTGTATAAAATTGTATTATACATTAACACAGATTTGTATGGCATCATCCAGGAAAGATGTAGATGTCTAAACAATCCCCAATAGAAAACTGAGAACTGAAAATTTCAAATTACAGTCTAATACTCCGAAGAAAAGTTTATCATCAAAAATTTCGAAAAATAAAAATATCCAAAAGTCATACAAATATTCCATTAAATTTCTGTTTTTTAACAAATATAATATTTACTGTTGACAACTGATATAAATTCTGTATTCGATAAAATTAATATTCAATTAAAAAATAATTCTCAAAGCTCTAGCATTCGTTCCTGCATTTTTTTCTGGAATTTAAGAGCGTATAAATATAAAATTATCAAAATTAATATAGACATATATACTGTTTTAAATATATGTACATATTTAAATCCTTTTATTGCATTGTTGATTTTTATGTATTGTTGTAATATTGTTCGATGATTATTTATTTAGTTAGTTATTGTAGCTTTTAAGTTAATAATTTTAAGGTTTGTTTTGTATTTCTGACATCACTTGTGTTTTGTATATAAGTAATAGTTTCTTATGTATAACCAAGAATGTTAGAATAAATAGAGTATTCCTCCTCCGTATGCCCCGTGCAATGAAAACGAAGCCATGAAACGTTACAATATGACGTCAGGACTTATCATGGCCGCTACCATAGGCGACCTTCTGGTTGGTTTTGTTTACATTCTAATCGGTGTGTCTACATGTTAACTTTCATCACTGAATGTTTAAGTCTACCGTTCTAATTTTAATACTTAACATAAATGATTTTCTACTTAGTACATAGAAAAACACAAGGATTGCAAATAACAGTTTCAAATTCAATAGAATCTAGATATATGAAAATGTGTAAATGATAACTATAGTAAAACTTAGAACATCAGTGGAAATTCTAACAGCATTTAACGCAAATTATGTCTAACAAACCATTGAGTCTCCGGATGTTAATATTTCCTCTCAAAGTCAGTGTAGTTTTATTTAACGATATGTTTTGCAGCCTTACCCATACGCTGCATGGTGGCCACGTTAGAAACGTCACGTTGTTGACATTTCCTTTTTTTCCTTTCTGTGACGTCATGCCTACTCCATTTATTCTAACCTCCTTGTGTATAACTGTCAATCTTTCAATTCTTAAGGTAGCAACGTTTAAATTGTAAAAATAGTTCAAGTGGGGAGCGAAATATGATCAAATATGATTCTCATGAGCCTAGGCAACCGACTTTTCCCAATATTTCTAAACGCTCGTGCTTGACTAGACCCATGCCTGTGTTACACAAAATAAATTTTGCTCCAAAAGCTCTGATGACTTTTTCTCCATCTCCAATTTTATCTCAACGAAGAAATGCAACTTCATGCAGTCATGCTCTTGAAGGATCCGTTAGGCATGTGGCAAGAACAAACATTATACTGCGCTGTGAGTAGTATACCATAAAAAAACCTCAGAAATATCGAAGTATCGAACGAGTTTTCATAATAACGGTTTAATTTTGAATTAGTAGCATCAATTTTTCTGAGCTGCTTTTGTACCAGTTCTCCAACTGAAAATGTAATCTTCTGAGGGATGGCTTTTCCATCAGAAGTCGCGAGTTAGATATGAAAATTGTGTTCTAATTTGAGAAAGAAAAACAAATTTGCGGTATATGAAAACGAACTAACAACTTTTCCGCCGGAAGAACGCATTGCAAGGATAAAAGTTATAGGGAAAATATACAAAGGTATCCTAAACGAAGAACTGGAATTGAATGAAAGTACAGGCAGGAGTAAAAAATGTTACAAATATCATTAGAAATCTCAAGAGATGGCAGAAAATATAGTAGAAAAACAAAATTTACAAATTTTTGGAAAATTTACTCGCCCACGAATCTGATAAAGAGATGAATATGCTAACGGCAAGTCCTGATTCACCGAAAAAAGTGCTGAAAAATATAGACCGGACGCAAGTGGGACCTTTCGTGAATTTTTATAATAAATTGTTGATTTCTTCCAGCTTCTTTGAAGTGGTCATTTAAAGAGATATCAACCAAGTGATAACCCGCAACAATATGTAGTACATGTGCTATAACTAAATTTCATCATCACCAATCGATTATATTTTGGGTTCACACAATAATATTCATAAGAAGCAGAATTAGAAATTTTACAATAAATGCATTACAGTACACTAGAAATTTGTTTATCATACTTATGGTATAAAACAGTAACTATTCCTACATGATTAAGCTTTTTACACTGAACAACAACGCATTTTTGTTATAACGAATATAATTAAAATATTTCAGGCGTCCTCTATTAATGGTCTTGTGGTGTACTTTATCTCTTTTTTTTTAAAAGACAAAATTTATTGGCTACCTTAAGATAAGAGTTCTGTGTGTAAGAATTGCATGAATAAATATTTTCAGAATAATTGGTCGTAAGACCACGATTTCAATTTAAGAAACGAAGTAAATAATGTTTACCTTCAGATGGCGATAATTTAGTCCCATGAAACCTTTTGTGAAAAATATACAACTGAATTTTTAAATAGACCCTCCTAAAAGAACGTCATAGTTAGCAAGTTGCTTTTAATTTTATTAATAGATCTTCCCATTTGAAAAAAGAGATAAAAGAAAGAAAAATACGTTGTGATGTGCTAAATTGCCCATGGTTAAAATATCAAAATTATATGACTAATGCTTGCACATTTTCCATATAAAGATACGAAACTTGCCAACAGAAGTTTTAATAAACTCTTATGTTGAATAACTTAATAAAGCGTATCGTATATCGTCCCATATTGTGAATAATGTAGAATTGATACCACTCATATATTTAATGCCAAGTTTTGAAAACTGATTGCAAAAGATCAGCTCTGTCAGTCTAATAACCATCTTTATGATTTATCAGAAAGACAGATTTAGTAGTGCCTCTGATCAGAGGGACAGGCTTAGTGGCCCTCAATAAATTTTAGCAGGATACAGCTGCAGTGTGGTATGCTCGCAGCGTTATTGAACACCGCACTGCAGTCTGCAGAATACCATCAGTGACAGCACAGAACTTTCTATAGGGCAGGAATGGAATCTCATTGCACAAGAAGTCTTAGATAGCCTTGAACAATACCTATACGTTGCGAGACCTACAACAGGTTTAGATATCAACAAGTTTCCGATTAGACAGCTTTCATCGGTTAAAAACACACTTATTTTCCCACTAACCTGTAGTGCGTTCGTTCACTTAACGATTTTTCTACTTCTTTACAACTCTGTAGCACTTACATAAAGGCAATGAGGAATTAATAACACTCCAAATAACTTCTGAAATAATCCTTTAGTTGATATATATCAGTGCATGTAGTTAGGATTTGCTTTAGTTAGCATTATCCTCAAATTCAAAACATTCGAATGCATAACGCTTTGAACGTATTCTATGCAGAAAACTTCAGTTCTGCCTTCACACATTTTCCTAATCTTTAGCAATCTTTAGCAATCTTGCTTTTAAGCAAGAAGAAAGGAGATGAGGATTTTGGGAAGTGCTGTTTCCTCCAGTCCGTGAGGACTTTCCTAAATTTATAAAATGTGAATAAGCCGCTGCTGCCACATCCTTCCTGCTTTGCTGGCTTTTATTAACGTTTTTTTTTTTTTTTAATTTTATTTATTTATTTTTATTTTTATTTTTTACTTTTCATGTAAACCTGATTTGACCATTCAAAGCTAAATTGTTTCCTGATTTCGTAAAAGAGCAAGATATCAAGAAGAAATTCAGTCGCTATTTTTGCAATGTGTAGTCATTTAATAGCACTGAAATTTATCTTTCTCTTCACTCTGCATCCCTATTCTTCTTAATTCCGTAGAATTACTAAATGTAAATGAATTACTTACTAAATGTAAATGAATTACTAAATGTAATTCCGTAGAATTACTAAAGATTTATCGATATTCGAGAACGCGTTTGGCAGTAGCTTATATTTCACTTTCCTGTTATCACCAGCCAAATAACTCTTCAACTTACCTTTGATCCGAAAAAGATATGGGTGGATATTAGATTTTTTGTCATAATCTGTTTCACACCAATAGTATCCTTGTAATTTCAAAGGATGTTCAAACTTCGTGCCGAGTAGCGTATCCAAGGAAAGCGTATGACCAGACAAATTAGAGGAACCATTCTTGATCAGGAGATAATCTTTATACCAGCGAACTTCCTTGTAGCCAGTGTATTTGGCATGACACGTCAGCAGTGGAAGAAGAATATCAGTTCCGGTGGAATTGTTCACGATTGACGAAGATTCGGTGACTTCGGTAGCAGAAGCTGACAAAAGAAAATTATGAAAATAATGTATTTAATTGATGATATGAAATTTGATAAGAAAACATGAATACAGTCGCACTTTGATAATACGTCATTCCTGATGTTGATTTGAAAATGACCTTTTGAATAGACTGACTTCTAAAGCAGAATTTTTTTTTTTTTTTAATTTTAATATTTTTCATACTATATCCTCATTTCAGAATTCAAATTACAAAATGAAAGAAATATTTTATTAACTTACATATAACTTTAAAATAAAAATGAAAACAGCAAAAGTTGTTTCTAGAAGATTTCTGGGAATTGAGGGTTTTGCTTTTTTAAATCATCAAATTAATCATGCTTCCAATTTATCGAAGTTCAATGGATATATCCTCTTTCTATTTTATTATACATTAAAGTTCTACCTTTTGCAGAAAAAAAAGGGGATGGGATTCAAAGATGTCTTTCGTATGCTTCGTGCCTTAACAAAAGCAACTTTTGATAATGATATTTTTTATAATTACTTCTGCTTTTCTTTTTATAACAATAAGGTTACTTTACATATATTACCTTTTATCAGGGATAAATACTTTCGCCCCCCAACCTGTATGGTGATTAGCGACGTCGCTGACTGCCGTGCCAAAGGGCCCGGGTTTGAGTCCCGGAGAAGGCATGGATGTTTGTAAATGTATAGTATCGGTGCCGTATGGCGGCACTCTAAATATGCGGCTAGCCGAAAGTTCTCTCGTCTGGTTTGGTGGAAGGGAAGACCTTCGGACCCGTTCCCCCCCCCCCGGGTTGTTGTCGATCAAAATTGAGGGCGGAACTGAGACAAATCGCACTGTCACCTGATAAGTGCTCAAGGCTGTTGCCAACGACAGGCGTAATCTAGCGCTCCTTGCCACGAGGTATTTCGTGGGCTTGAGCTGACTACATCAGACAAGTGAGCATAAGGAACAACAACAACAAATAGTTTTAATAAAATTTCATGTCTTCGCAGAACTAGATAAAATAGCAAGCAATTAAAATATATATTGACCAATTATTTCTGTGGACAGGAAAGAAAGACTCTAATGTAAAATGTGAAATTAAGCACACACACAAAAAAAAAAAAAAAAAAAAAAAAAAAGTTATGCTGATTATTGATCGATTTGATCGATTTTAATATTAAGTCCATTTTATAGTCGAAAATTTTTACATAACCTTTCTTTAGGAGCCCAAAAAAATTGCTGTTAATTGTTTTCCTCGTTCCTGAACACAGGATGCTATGTCAATAGCCTTCAAAATAAAGAGAGTTTTACCGAGAGGCATCTAGATCATCCTAAGGTCCTCTTCCGTAATTATCAGCTCTTCACCGTCGCATTTATAACCTAAGTAAGATGAAGGACATCTGAACTAGACTTCTTTATCAATTTAGCAAGAATGAACTTCATTGTTTTTAAATTTACAAATAATATTGTTTCTAAATTGATACGATTAGTAAAATTTCAGTTCAATAATGAATAACAGAAAAATATTTAAAATATCTACGCAGGTTATGTTTTCAGAATAAAACTGATTTCGTTCTGTAAAATAAACCTCTCATACAAACTGAACTGGATCATATTGAAGGATGATGACTATAGATTTATGGGAGCTATTACCAGGAATGATGGCCATGATTATCTCAAAATCACGGTATCAATGGATAGTTAGAAACAAAGGAAAAAGAAATTAATCTGTATTATATTTAACAGAAAAAATTATTAACAGTTTACCTATATTTTCAAGCAATTAATAGGGATAATAAATTCATTTCGTCAGCAAACCATATTGTAGAGTCATTAGGTCTCTTTTATATCAGAAAGCTGAAAAATGTGCAATGCCCACGCCGGGACTCGAACCTGAACCTCTTGAATACGTGCCGAGTGTGCTACCGTTACACCACGAAGGCATCCTGGAAGAAGAAAGAAAATACTTTATATACTCCCCCTTTAAAGGACGACTGGAGATTAGGGAGCCCAATGGCCAAATCCTCGTGGTGACGAATCGTCCTCCACCGCTTTTAGTGCGGTCGCCACCGTAGAATAATTTAGAATTTTTTTCAATATCAGGAAACTGAAGAAATCTGCAATGCCCTCGCCGGCACTCGAACGTCCCCGCGTATTAGACCTCTCAAATATGCTTTTCCACGAAGCATGTTTACCTTTACCACACCACTAAGTTATGCTGGAAGGAGGAGAAAATACTTTATAAATTCAAGTAAGATTTAACCAGTAAGCAAAACTCTTTATACAGTCAAGGTATTCTGTATGGAAAATTTTCTACTATTCGGTCATTTTTCAAATCATTTCATTTCTAGTGAAATTGGATTCATTGACAAATATTGAATATTTTTCTGATTTTCACTTTCTAATGTATTTTGTATCTTGCATATGCTCATTACAAAAACTTGACAAAATTGCAAACAATTATAAAAGTAAGTGAATATTTCCCCAAAATTCTATGCATTTTATTTTGCAGTGTTTACGTGAGTATCCTCACTTTTAATCCTTTAATGTTTTTTTTTCCTGTATTCCAAGTAAATTTTCGAGCAAAAACCTTAAAATTCTCAGTTTCCTAGAATTTATTTGCGAATAACTGTAATATCATTATGTTTTCAAAATAAAGATTTTTTTAAATTCCTTATTGATAACCTTTTGTATAATTTTGATCGAATCACCTAAAAATATGTTATCTCTTTTCTTATTGCTGCCATTGCTAACCATCAGATTTTCAGTTATTTTACTCTGATTACTTATTTTTTACATTGCCTTCTAAGGATTTGGGAGAAGATTTTACTAAATTGTTACACTGGTTGTTTAAATAATTTTGTACATTTTTGGAAGAGTTAGCTTGAATGAAATTTATGTGTGTATATCACTGAGCTAGATTAAATTTCTCTGACTCTTACACATTCGTGTAGGTGGGCATTTTTAACCCAGCTCATTTAGACTCAAAAGAAGCTTTGAGATTCATAAAAAAATAATGGCGATACTATTTGAAAAAAATATTTCGAGCTGGAAGAAAGAGAACACGCTTTCAATTCTTAACTGAACATTGATTTCATTTGAACTACAGACTTCTTTTTTTAAGTTCTCCTTCACAAATGTGGCCATAATTTGAATTTAAAATGACGCACAACAGTGTGTCATGTATTGCATAAGTGTCTTAATACATAACATACTTTAGCTAATGATTTCAATTTCAATTCATTTCAGTAAGCACTTAATTGAAAACTGAAAACGTTGGAAAAAATCTTTATTTGGTTTCATGACGTTTTCATTTCTATTTAGCTTAATAAATGGAGCTATATTTTCCCCCCTTCTTTTATTTGTTTATTTATTTATTTTTACTTTCATTCCTTTTATTTAAAGCGACAAATCGTCAGAATTATTTTTGCTTTTTTAACTGACGAAGATGGCACAAAATATTTTTGCTCTTTAAAGAAGCGCAGGCTACAGCTTGCAACAATTTCTTTCGAAATACACAAATATTTTCAATAAAATTATCCCCAGTCTGAGGCTAAATTTTGTATAATTATCCGTATTAATATAATATCTTAACTAAACTCCCATTTTTTATTTATGACACTGCTGTTGCCCATGTGCGATACATAAAGAATCTGAAACAGAATTTTAAGACAAGAAATTTTTCACGTGAACAAATTAAATCACACTTACTTTCCTGAAAACATTCCAGCAGAACATAGCATATTATAATAGCATATATGGCCCCGTAGATACATTGATGGGAGGACATATTACGGGTGCTCCTGCAAAACTTATCCAGTCAGCATATGGTGCTAAAAACAAGAAATTCTCTCAGTGAATTTTATTAAGTTTTAGAGAAATTAAACTGTGACACTACGTTTTTCTTTATTTTGGTTAATTTTATTTAACAAGCTTGTTTATAAAAATTCATTAATGTTTTTCATATGTCAAAATACATTTTTACATTTCAAATGCATCATGGCGTTTTAATTCCTTATTTTACTTTGCTATCGTATATTAATTGTAAAATTATCAAGGTCATACTGAAAAATTTTAATAGAGGGCATATTAAAGCAACGAATTAACAACCATGTGTTTGGAAAATGAATATACCTAAATGAAGCTTTTTTTTTTAGTGATCTAAATAAGTGAAAGGAGCTTTTCTCAGTGTGTATGTATTGCAATGAAAATCACGGTTTTAAGCATGTTAGAACAAGTTTAACGAATCCTATCTGAAAAACATTACTTATGGAACGATCTGATATCTTACTGTGCCTGTATAACCAATTATAATAAAAGGGCAGTAAAATACGTCGCGAACTTTAAACGCTTCGCGCCATTATTCATGGGGTGTAAAAGTTCGACTGTCACGTGTTACTTATAGTTTAGTGGGAGCTCGATCTTCTCAGATGCGAGTGGCACATGTAAAAGAGATACCGTGTATCCTGGTGTATAACGCACACATTTTATACAAAAAATAAGATCGAAATTTACGGATGCATATTATACGTCAAAAATAAAAATGATAGCTGTGAAAATAAAGAAAAGATGAACGTACAAAATTAATATTTCTCATGTGCCTAAATACTGTTTATTTAAAAGAAATGAATACCTTATGAGCTTAAAAATTTTCATTATCGGATAACATGAAAAGTTCATCATATTCGTCCTCTGTTACATATTCATTCAGATCATCGAATTCTGGTTCATCTTTACCATTACTGTTACTCTGATCCATAAATAAATAATCAATTTCGTTCCATCTAAATTGTTATACATACTGAATTTTTAAGTAACTTTTGAATTATGTCGGGTTTAATTTCATTTCCATGTTTTTATTATCCACTCTATTTCTAGACTGGCATGACGCATTTGCCTCCTTTAGTTAATGCTTTTTTACTTTCTAGCATCCACGTATTTCACTGTCATTTTAAATTTTCTTTGAATGTTTTATTGATATACACATCTTGTAGAGTCATTAGGTTCTATTGATGCAAGACGTTGAAAAATGTGCAGTGCTCTCGCTGCGATTCAAACGCCGGACCTCCCGAATATGCATCGAGTATACTTCCAATTACATCAAAAAGGCATATGGGAAGGAGGGAGAAAATACCTTATATATTCCCCTTTTAAAAGTCGCTTGGCAATTAGGGGAACTAATTGCCAAATCCTGGTGGTGACGAATTATCGTCCATCACCTTTTAGTTCGGGCGCCACTTGTAGAGTTATTAGGTTATTTTGAAGGAGGAAACAGGAAAAATGTACAGTGGCCTAGTCAGTAGTTGAACTCCGGACCTCCCGAATGCGCGTAGTGTATGCTTTCAATTACACCACGAAGGTTAAAGACTGAACCAATGGTGTTAATCTGCCTGGAATAATAGCCCTGTTTCTATTACACTCTTTCACCAATTTCCTTATATTATCCATTAGATGGGATCTGAACCTGTCCAAAACTAAAAGACTTTTTGGATTCTTATAGGCAACAGAACGCTTTTTCCAAACATTTCTTATCCACAATTTCATACCGTTTTCATCCATCCGTCTTCTCTCGTGAACAGGAATAAAAAAGCCATTTGGGAAATTACATTTTGGCATCGTCATTCATTTAAAAATAAGCATGGGTTTTAATTTTGTACCCTCCGCTAAGCAAAGCACTACAGTTAGGTGAGAATTTTCGAGACATGTTGGTTTATTTGAACTGTGTTTGTTCCTTTCATTTAAATTATTCTATTTTATATCACATCAAGTTTCATCCGTTTTTCCAGTATGTGAGAGTAAATATTTTTTTAGCATTCGTAGGTCAATAACATACTTCTGGAAACTTATCAGTTCGTTGTCCAAATCTTTCGTAAGCCGTTTCAAAACTTTTTTTTCTCGTAGAACTGAATTATTTCGTGCCATAAATCGACTACATCAACTCAAAGTTGCTTTAAAATTTTCGCTTTCATTCGCATTCTTTTTTTCCCACTTTAAGGCTAATACATATACTCTGTTTCTTGTTACAATTAATCCAGCCCGCCGGTTTTTTTAAGGCGGAGTTTGCAACACTTTCTATTATGATAGGCCATTTCGTTACTCTTTTACGTAATTTATTCTAGTGTATTAATTATTATGATTTCATTTTTCTTCCACTCATGTATGGAGCTTTTATTAACACCAAACATCCTTACTGCAGCATGATTTCTATTTTCTTTCTCAAATTGAGTGACTCTGCGTTTGAAACCAGTACTGTGTTCGTTCGTTTGGCAAGAGCCATATTTACTACAAAAAGGGCTATTTTTACTAAAGCAGCCATGTTTACTACTTCTCGAAGCTATGGAATAATATTCTTCTGTACATTTGCAATGAATACAACCTATGCCCTTTCAGAATTATTCTCTCAAGCATTTTTCCGCGCGCACACACACACACACACACATTATTCCCCTTATTGTTTGTCAGTTCATATACCATTTTTAAAATGCTCGGGAAAAATGAATGGCTTCAAAAGATAAGAACATCGCACATGTATCTTTCGGATTCCTTCGTAAAGAAAAGGGTGGGCGTTATAAGACAAATATAACTAAAAATTAAAAAATATAGGTTGAAATGACAGGTGCGCGTCATACGGCTGAATATACGGTAAGTGAGCATGGGGTGCCTTGGACCGAAGAAATAAGGATTATCACCATGTTTTTAGTAGGAGAAGGGATATTCGCAGTTTTCGCGTCCTAGTAAATCAGGAAGATCTGCCACTTGAAAACATTTGCTGCAAGCTTCGTACGCAAATGATAAAATGAAATAAATACATAGTTAGGCTTTGACACCTGTTGTAAATTAATGACGAACCATAGCAAATTTTTATCAAATCATAGCCAACAAAAAATAGTATCATAGCAAATATTTTTCTCTCGACCATTTGGCTTTGCCATTTTGAAAAACTCATTTTAGATATAAGATTTTATTAAATAAAATCTTTGTTTATGTTCTATACCTTCTACAATTCATGCTCAGTATCTAATTCCTGGGAGGTTATTCATAAACCATAACATCTTAGCTTAAAATTTTTTCAAGCGTTGAAATGAAATCTGCGAATTAAAATCAGATTGCAATTTTTTTTTCAGTCTTATTACATTTATATTTTTTAATTAAATTCCTTTTTTAAAAGTTTTATAGTTTTTATAGAAAATTCTTCAAGATGTTGGATCCTAATTTAATATTCTCAAAATGTAAGATCTTCTTTTAATTTTTAATCGATATCATTTAAAATGCAGTTAATTTATCCTAATCCTAATTTTTATGAACATTTGCAACATTGTTGTAAATTATGAAAAAATATTCTAGAAACATATATTAAAAGCCTTAATATAGAAGTGTTTAGTTTTTAAAACATATATTGTCATGTTTAAAAATCCGTAAACGTTGTCAATTTTCGAGAAATAACATTTTGGCTCATGTAATTTCTGTTCAGGTAAGATTGCGAAGAAAAAATGTTCAAGCAAGCATACTGCAGAAGAATTTAAGTCTAGATCGCTGCGTAGATATTTTAACATTTTCAGCAGTAATTTCACATTTAGCACATTCAATAAGTCAATATTATTTATACAAAAATCGATAAGGGGAGTGTCAGTTAGGTAAACTTACATCACATGCAATACGAGAATAAAACTGAATTCATAAAATACACAAAACCACTAAACTGTAAAGGATAGGATTTTTACAATAAAACAAGGTATTTTCAAAATCAGTACAAGAAGAACTTTAAATAGAAATAAATCTCAATTTTTACGAAATTTATTATCTTAGACTAACGAATATACTTCGTATTTTTAAGTATAGCTTACAGAACTAAATATGAATTATGTAAGCAAACTCTACTATATTCAAAGACTTTAAAATTATGAGAAATAAAAATTTCCAAAAATATTGAACTGATAGCAGTTTGAATTCGTATAAGGTATAGCAAAACTGTTCAGATTCTCGAAAAGTATTCCAAAAATCGTTTATTTTTCATAAAATATATTTTCGGGACTTCACTTTTTGTTCAAATTGGTTGATTTCGAATTAAGAAAAGTTCATATACTCTAACCCTAATTTCTACAAAAATATAAACGACCTTCTAAAAATATTTCAACAATTGAAAGTTGATGACAGCTAATATTACCATGCTACCGAAAAGCATCTGAAAATACCCAAGATCAGCTACAGTCTTCAGAAATTGCTTTTATAGAACACTTCTCCCTACTGGGTGCAATTATGTCACTAGAAACCAAGAGTGGCAAATTATAGGAGTAAAGATAACAGTTGTGACTCTAAAAGGGGCGAGACAGGTGTACCTCTCTTCAAAAGGGTAAAATTTTCACTTTAAAATTGACAGCTTGAAAGCCCCTTTCATATATAATATGCATTTTGCCGAGGACCTTATCATTAACTTAATAGTTTTTACTTAGTGCCAAACAAGAACATATTTTCATATGCATAAGCTAATTATATTTTAATTCTACAAATTATTTCAATATGCAATTTATAAATTTTGAAAAATTTACTATGTCAGTAATAAAATGGTATGTAAACATTATTATTAACAAAGTTAAGGAAAAGTTAAATATATTTTTTGCTTTTACCTTTGTGAAAGAAAATGTTGTTTCATTTTTCTTCCTTCCCCTTCCCCAACTGTATGTGAAATAAGTGTCTGAAAAGTATAATCTTAAATTTGGTTCGAATGTCATCACTGATATATATATATGTTTTATGTCGGCAAGAAGTTTTTATGCACACATTCGATTGGCAGAAGAATAGTTTCTTGAAAACATTTTCTGCCAACGGTTTATATGGGACAGTTTTATAACGATGCTTCATTATAAGGGTGTCTTTATAAAGATAGGCTATTTATCTCGCTGACAAAAATTTTAACGAAAATTCTGCAACTCTGATAAAAATCAGTTTTTGACGAGAAAAAAGCGATTTTTATAAAGGTGCCACCATTTTAAAGGCGTGGCACCACTGCTCAAGTAGCATTTTTGACTTACTAATTTAATTTGATTACTTCTATGATCAATTTACTAATCATAAAAGCAAATTAAAACAATTTTTGTATTGCAGTGTTCCAGCATAAAAGTGCAACGTATTTATAACGGGCAACTATTACGCGGTAGTCTCATTCACCTAGCAATTGAAAGTCGGGAAGGCTTATACTCTGCTTGAAGTCAAGTTTCAGGAACATGTTCTAAAGAAGTCAAAAATATAATTTCCTACATTTTTTAGACCATGAAAGTTTTAATATTGAAATTAAATAGAAGATTTGGTTTTAGGTCAAGAAACTACATGAGTCCCAAAGTTTAACAACTGCTTCTTTACAATCTATTTAATAAAAATAACAGCTTAATAACTGATGCTTTCTTTGTACAGTGGACATATGACTGAGAAAAGTAGGTACTTACAATAAATCTTCTATATTTCTATATGCATTTCATTTGCTATATGTCCCGCATGAAGATACCACAAACTGGAACAATCGGTGAACAAACTGAAGTCTAAAAAGAAGTTTTGAATCAGATCTTCGAAAGTGTGAGTTAGTTTTATATTTCGAAAGCGAGTGACTGAAAGAAATTAACTTATAACTGTGACATTTTTCGCGCAAACTTCCGTTAAAAATGCCATCACCGGAACTAAATAGGTGGAACATCCGTTTTTCTTTTCAGTTTTTATAAGAATCGGTTACTTGCTTTGAATAATGTGGCAACATTTATCGCTGAGACATTTATCAGAATAGACAGTCATAACTATGATTTCTGGTTCGGAAGAAAAAAAAACGGAATAAAATGAATTAAGTGCGTAGATAAATCGTCACGTATAAATAAATAAATATAACCACAGAGATGAATTTAATCTTTAAACTTCGTAAATGACGGTAGGTGGAGAATTGCATTCTTCTATATTTAAAACGATTTTCTTCTCAGTTTTACATTTTGAGCGAATCTTACAGATTTTACACTGTTCAATCTAAACGTCATATTTAATTTGCACTATCACCAGAAGCAAAATAACTCACTTGTATAAAGAAATTGCTGTTGCAATTCATGCCTACCTTAAGATTTTAGTTAACACTAAATTTAAATTATAGCTAAAACAAATAAATCTTTCTTCCATCCACTAAACCTTTATGTGTTATACTGCTTTCATCAGACACAGTACTTTTAAGCACAGACAGATTTTATGAGGCATTAATTGTCACTTTCTCATCTATTTTGTGTGCTCTAAAGAAAAAAAAAAAAAAAAAGAATATTTTCTAAAATTGTTTGCAGCGATTATCAGTAATATCATTGCCTCTATATCATCATAAATTTTACTAATGGTCTTTGTAGAGTACAATTTGAAGCCTCGAAATTGCCGTTAGCATCTTTTATGCTTATGACTAGAGGAATAGATGGTTCGTGTGCATTTTTGACTGAATACGGAAAAGCATATAAGGATTACTTGCCCACGGGAAGGAATCCTTCCTGAAAGGCTTTCTAAGGGAAATGAGCTGGTATTCACGTTATACATAGAGAAAAACAAGAAAAAATTCCTTCACAATCGCCAGAATTCGAAACAAGAATCTTCACTAGTCTCATCCATAAGGTCATAATAACAGATCCGAATTCAGGTTAATTTGAAAGCAAAACTGCTTTTAATCTTAATCTGGACCAAATCGATGCCCAAGATTAGATTAGCATTCAGTTTTTCTAGTTTATAATAATTTATTAGTCCCTGATTATTAAGATTTTAACACTTTCGCTCATTTACAATGTCTTTACATTTTTATTTAATGCGGTTACTGTATATTTCATGATGTTTGTGCAGCTAATTATAATAACAGATTAAAATTAGCCTATGATAAACACTTTTACTTCAATAACGATCTTTTTTTTTTTTTTTTTTTTCTGCTTAAAAGAGTTATTTTTCAATTCAAATACAACTTATCTTTCAAAACTGCTGAGCAATAGAGTATTTCTAAGGCTAGTTTTGCAGTAAATAGTATCTAAGTTATATCTAATACTCTCTAGTGTGTTATCGGCGACTCTGCATCATAACAACGTTATTCGAGTGGTCAACAGATTCTACATTGGAAAAAATCGGAAGTTGGCAACCAATCAAATTTTAAAATGCAAATTTTCTACCAAATTATCAGGTACAGTAAGATTTTTAAACTAACTTTCACACTTTTTGAACATGCTGAAATTTATTTCAGTTAACGATAATTTTTACAAATATCAGAAACACAAGAGCTTATTGCATGCAGCTAATCCACAATGAAAAGATTTTTCATTTACTTTCGATATTAAAAAGATGTATCAGTGATCATGAAATCAAAGCGAGATCTTAAAAATAGTTCAAAATGCTTCTTAATTTAGAAGAAATTCAATTTTACACTCGAAGTCGAAAGCCAACGATAATGACATTATTAACTATCATGTTCATTACAATTAAGAAAGCCACAGATGTACAAAAGATGATTTCCAGATCCTACTAATATTTATCCTTTTAGGTTACAGTTACAGCCACATACGGATTAGTTGCGCAGTATTTGCATTTTCTGCGAAAATATCTCATCATGGAAATTTTGAAAGCAAACAAGCGAAAATCATTTGAGGCTGTGCGACGGCTACTAAAGAAGGTGTCATCTGATTTTCAAAAGATATTCCTTGGTTCTCAGTGTCACATGAGGTGTGGCTCTGTGATAGAGCAATATGCTGCGACTAAGACCTAAGATTTTTTTCACCGAATAGCAGTCGGAAACTGCAACATAATTTTGCAAAAGGAGGATGTAGCAATCACATTCGCTCCTCGCTTCCGAAGACCAAGCAGCAGTACAAAATATATATCACAGTCCATTGTTTTTGTAATGCACAGTCCTCCAGCATGGTAGACACTTTCATACGGCTGGCACTGCTTGTTGACTCTACGAAATATGATTATATTACTATCTAGTGAGGCCTGCCAGCGGATGATCTGTGAAAATCGCTGAACACTGGTTCTGTCCGGGATCAAGCCCCGGTGAGCGTTGCATGTGCGTTTTCCTGGGTTTCTTCGTGTGTAACATAAACACGGGTCAGTTTCACTTGAAACGTCCTCCACGGAGCATCCCTTCCTTTCGTGTAACCCCTAATGGCGGAGCACATAGTAAATAAATAAATACCACTATCTGGTGATACCCTTTTGTAACCATTCATGGCCATTTTATTATCTTACCGCGGTTTATAGCTTATTTACTGTTTTTCATTCGTATTAATATAACATATAGCGAAGGAAAAAACTCTGATCATTAGCATATAGTTTGACCACTACGAGAAGGAACTGCCCATCACGTAGTCTCGGACGATCCGAGTATCTTGCTTTAAGTAACCTAATGGCGCGTGCTCTATAGCAAGGAATTTTAATTCACTGATTTGCAACCTTGGATGTAGTCTCTGTATCTCTTTCCGCAGTGAAATGAACTCCCCTTCTTAAGAGGCAAGATTAAGTCTCTTTTCGTGGTAGACGAACTGTACTGTATGTAGAATTCAATCAAATACATAAAAAACTGGAGAAAGAAAGAAAGAATTTAATAAAATCAGTTAAACGTCAGAATATAACCTGATATAATAATAATATATGTGGGAATGCTATTTTTATTTCATATGCTGTAAAATTTAAATTTTTTATTAACAAACTTTACGATTTGAAAGCGAGCAGTTGCAACACTTTTCGAAATAAAGCAGATTTTTATCTCCAGCGCACAAAACTGTTGCCAGTCAGTAAAATGAATGCGAAAATTATCATTTTCAGAGTTAATAATTAATTAATATTTCGGCTGATTAAAGTTATACGAAGATGAGAATGGTCGAAATGGCTTCCCACGAATTTTTGAAATACGGGGGGGGGGTACCTATCTTGAAACTCAACTCCGCGCCGTTCCGGAGAAGATAATGCCACAAACAAACAGACAGACATGCACAGATTTTAATAGTATAGATTAGCGGGCTGCGACCAAAGCAAAATTTAAGCTTTCTACGTATCTGAAAAGAAAATGTGTAAGAACATTTCCATACGAAATGTTGTAGCTTTATTTTGGCTTGATTAGCAATTTTCGGCCATACAAAATAGAGTTGTACGAATGTTGTCGTACAGACACTCTGTAACTATAAAGCTGCTAGTTTGTGTATAGCTGCCCAATTCTTAATCCTCGAACATCATGAGGAAAGAAAATTACATGCGTTATCAGTTCCAAGTTAGGACTTAAAGTATCGAGATTAATTAGACCAGCACCTATTGCATATATTACAATATCTCTGTTTGATGGAGAACGCCACCTGCACTCTTGAAAACAATTGCAACTTCATTTTCTTATGGGGCTTTCTAACATTCTTTGTGCTCACCTGTAATAACAATTTCGCCCTGGATGTGCATAATGGATAGCAGCAGCAGTTTCAGCACCTTGCTTTCGTAGAATTCCTTCTTCAAATTTTTTTCAGCATCTTGTAAACTGAAAAAAAAAATTGGTGTTACTTTGGTAGACGGTTGCACGGATTTTTGGCGATTTATGTTGGCGCGGTTTTAACAGTCTTCAGCAATCTTCAAAAATGCTGTTTTGACGTATTTCACGCATAGTAAAGTATTCGAAACTTTTAAAAAATAAATATCGTTAAAAATAATAGATTAATTTTTTGTTGAAAACGTTGTTTTTAAGAATGCGGCAATGTAACAAATACATTTACTAAGAGTATAAAATGCTAAAGTAAGGTTTAAATTATTACTTCATAAATAGAAATAAAAACCGCTATAAAAACATTGCGCCTTTAATAATAAAATATGATTTAAATTAAATATTGAATAAAAACCCCTACCACGTTTAAAAGATTTAAATTTTTCAATTAATTAAATTTAAATCGTTTAAATAGTTTATAGGATATAATAATTTAACATTAAACTTATGCGGCATAAATATCTCAGGAATTTTTTAAAACAGTGTATTAAATTTTAATAAACTTGAAGTATACAATTATAAAGAAAGAAAAATATGTACTTACATTTTTTAAGTATTTTGCCTGTCGTATCTTTGTCAGTAACCAGGAAAAAAACGATCTTCATCTGTGATCCACAAGATTTATGGATCACATGGTGGTGTGAAGATTTTATTTATTATTACAAGGGTCAGAGGAAATTTTAGTTTAAATTTTGGCGAAAAACCTTGTAATAATAAAAACTTTGATTAGGAAAGCCAGGTGGACAAATAAGGGTCGAATGGCAATTTGGTTTATCCCCGATACCAATAATTTTGGTAATACCACTAACAACATTTCATCTTCGAAAGGACACATCCATTCGCTTTGAAATTGAGGAATTCGAAGAGAGAATCATAAAATTTTAAAATGGCGCGGGTATAATTGCAAAACATATCAGTAAACAATCAGGAGCTGATGAAGCACGCTTGAATTAAAATTATTTAAATTCATTCATATAAATCATATTTAAAAAAATGCAAAATTAAATTGTATTGATATACCCATAAATCATGCCCATTATAAATTTTATTACAAACTTTTAAAATAATGTACACATACATATTCACCATACATTTCATAAATAT